TCAGGGCTGTTCAACGTTGTCTGGGAGTTCATTAGAAATGTAAATGAATGAGCCCCAGCCCAGACCTACTGACTCACAGTCTTCGGGGGTGGAGCTCAGAAAGGTGTGTTTTAACCAACTCAGGTGATTCTTATTTTCACTGAAGTTTGATAACCACTGAGATTTTTGTTTTGTTTTGTTTAATATACTGATAGGACTTAAAACTCTTCACAGATACCCGCCTGATGGTGAGAGGGAGGGACTCAGGAGGTCACTGAGCAGATCACAGCCCTTCAGTCTCCGCCGTTCCAGCTGTTTCTCTAAAGGAAATACTCAGGATTACAAAGAAAGTAAGTGAGCTATTTTCTGAAGATCGTTTCTTTAATCATAGTTTTCTTTAAATACCTGAGCTTGATCTTAGAATTTTAGTATTTACTGTTTATACACTTATACACACACCATATGAGGGGATAAAATAATATGTGGAAAAGAAGCCAAAGTGAAGAAAAAATAAAGTTAGGAAAACAAGATGAGGTTATGTACGAATTCAGCGCATAGACAACAGAAGGAAGCAGCAGATTATTCTCCACCTGTCCTTCTTAGTTTCTGTGAACATATTTAATCATCTTCTCTCTGTCTTTCTGATATCCTTTTAACCTTTTTAGTGGGTTTGAATTCACTTTTTTTTACAAATATTTATTGAGCGTCTAGTGTAACTGGCACAGACACAGGCGGAGTGGGTGGAGCACAAGTAAATGTGTTCACAGAAAGATAAAATCAGTGAGTTACGAACAAAATGATGTGAGTGGGATGGCATTTTAATAGGTGGAAAGAAAGGTGAGATTAGAGGTGGGGGAGGGGCAGATCGCACAGAACTTGGTTAGCCATTTGGATTTTATTCTAAGTGCAGTAGGAAGTTATTAGAGACTTGATTTAGGTTTTAAAATAGTATATTGCCGTTGCTGAGCTGAGAGGAGCTGGAGGCAGGAAGTGGCTGGGTAGAATATATACTAGGAAAACAATAACTGAGATGGTGAAATTTTGGTGGTTTAAACTATGGTTCTAAATGAATGAATCTTAATGGGCATTTAGGGTAAGAAAGGTTGTGGGTTGAAATCCAGGGCAGTGTTTTAGATATGTTAATTTTGGGTGCTTATTAGACATTCCATTGCAAATGAGTTGAGACCTCTGTATCTGGGTTGGAGCTTTAACATGGAGAGTGGTACTTGCCTTAACCTTTAGAAATGAATGAGATTACCTACTGAGAGACAGTAGAACCGGAATAGGGGACCAGAATGAAGCTTCAAGCACCTCAAATGTAGAGATTCAAGAGGCTGTGGAGCCAAACAAGGGCACTGAGACACAGACCAGGGAAGCAGGAGTGGTATCAGCTATAGGATATTGATAACCGAGAGAATGAAGGTTATAGGAGGGGAGGAAAGGCATGGGCAGCTATGTTACTGCTGCTGAGTCTGTTCCTTCTGGTGATGGGTCACTTCTTTCAGTGGACTAGTCTAGAACTCGTCCAGGCAGGCAAGACAAAGGAAGTCAGGAAGGAGTTGAAATACCCCAGCAATAAAAAGAGCTAGAGCAAATTCAAAAGCCAAGTGACAACTTGAGATAAAATGTTTGCAATTTATATAAACAAACAAGGGATTAATTTTTTAAATGTATAAATATCTCTAAAACTGAGAAGAAAAATGCCAAAACGCCTGATAGAAGAAAACGGGTAAACGGCTCAAATATATGGTTCATGAAAATAAAAGCCTTGCTCATAATAAAATGGAGCCCTGGTGGCTCATAATAAAATAATCGCAAACTGAAAATACATCAAGATCTTAGTATTTGTGGAAGCTTTAGATGTGTCTAATTTAGAGAGATACGGATATTATAGATATGTTTATCTACCTAGCTATATATAGTATATATATACGTTTATTACCAACCAAGTGGGCAAAATTCAAAAGCTTGATCGTTTTCTCATACATTGCCTGGAGTACAAAATTGTAACTAAAATTACAAATGCATTTACTTTTTGATACAGCCATCTTACTTTTAGTGACTAAGTCCTCGAAGGCCATGGTTCTCAAATTTTTGGTCTCAGGACTTCTTTACACTCAAATTATTGACGATTTCAGTAAGCTTCTGTTTGTATGTATTATGTCTGAAAACAAAAATTATTAAGAAAAGTGACATGGTTTTATAGTTTTGCAAATCTCTGTAATTTCTGGTTTATCAGAAGACACATATTTTCTAATACCTATTCTGGCATCTCATCTATTGCAATATGTTTAGCAACAAGTGTTATATATATGTTGTGTATATGCGATAGGTTGTGTATATGAAGAAAATCTGACCTCACACAGATGGGTAGTTGGAAAATCTAATCGCTTTCAAAGATCATTGTGATTTTTGCCCCCTGAAATCATATCAATGAACACTTTGTATTCGACTACATTCAAATCTATTGGTCTGTCTTATACTTCGAATTCAACTTTTGCATAATTTGTATGATCGTGCACTGGTCACTCGCAAAATACTGGTGCACTGAGCTTGCAGATCTTCTAAATGTGGATACATTTCACTAGACAATATTAAACAAAAATCACATTCGTTAAAATCACCACCACTCTCCTCAGGAAAGATTAAGTATTGCAAAATTGTCAAGCTTACAGGAGTGCATACAAGTTTTCCAAAATTGTAATTTTTGTCTTAAAGCTCAAGTTTTATCATTGGCAACTAATGCTCTCAGTTGTTCTCCTTGAAATGACACGGTCATTTATTAATTTTTGAGAAAACGTCTTCCAAATTACCGAGTCTGAATACCATAGTTTGTCAGAGTTGTTCTTTCAAGTAAAAATGTTCTACGAAATAAAGTGGCTAGTGTAACTTCCACTTCAAACAATCACAGATTTGCTTTTCCTTGAGACAATCATTGTATTTCCGTATGCAGCATAAATGCTTCATGCAGTTTCCAGAATATTAAATATTATTATTAAGTAAAAGTTAATAAACAAATCCTGCACTCGGGTTGAGATTTAATATTCTACTGCTTCATCAAGATGTAAGGATATTCTTGATGAAAACGGGCTTTTTTTTCTTTCCTTTTTTTAAAACCTGTAGTATGCAAGTATATAAAGAGGAAAAACACAGTCATGCTTACTAGTACTGTTTAATGTCACTTCCTTGATCAGTAGTAAGGCTCCAGTACTTTTATCTGTCTTCACTGCAAATGTCAACACAATGAAAAAGGCAAGGCAAGTCTTGCGGACTACACTTTAAAAACTGCCGCTTTAAGATGAACGCCAACAAAATACAAAAAGATCATATGCACAAGATTAATCAACTTCTAAATTCTGAAATTAAATAAAAAAGAAAAAAAAGAATGAACGCGCAGGAAGTCTAGTAATGACAGAGTTTGGGTGGGAGCGAGAGGGTGAGGAATGTGGAAGAAGTTAATAAATTCAGAAAAGAACGTCTGGGAGTTTGGAAACGAATCAGATCCATGTTGGCACAGTGGTTAAGCGCTCGGCCGCTAACCAAAGGGTCTGCAGTTCTAATCCAGCAGCGGCTCCTTGGAAACCCTAGGGGGCAGTTCTACCCTGTCCTATAGGGTTGCTATGATTTGGAATCGACTGGACGGCAACGGGTTTGGTTTCTTTTTGGATAATGTCAAAAGTGCTGGTTAATGAGTGGGAATGGGGACAAACGTTAAGGGAATAGAGGATTCTGAGAAATTACTACTCGGTATGATGGTGTCACCCAACAAGGAATAAGACGAGGAAACTAAGTCATCTAAGGCAGTTCTTGGTTGGGGAACAGTGTCCCACAATTCAATAGGTAACACATTTAAGAATAGAATTAAAATAATGCTTTTTGAGAAGAGGTAGATTTGTTAATCACAGGTAATCAGATAATTGTCTGGACACAGAAATGGGTATGTAGGAGATTATAGGTCCCCTGTTAGTTTCCTAAAACAAAAAAATAAACAAACATAACCAGCTGACCGAATAGTAGCATGCCCAGTTTCCCTTTCTATTTTTTGCAAAGTGTTTTTGGACTTCATTCTCTAGGTTTTTGTTTGTCTTCTTTCTTTTCTTTTTCTTAATATCCTTTCATGTCTGGGACGAGGGTGAGGCACCAGGGCCCTGGTGGCGCAGTGGTTAAAAGCTGTGTCTGCTCACCAAAAGGTCAGCAGTTCGAATCCACCAGCTGCTCCTTGGAAACCCTATGGGGCAGTTCTCCTCTGTCCTCTAGGGACTCCAGGGCAACAACAAGGTGAGACAAGACAGGTATTTTGGTGCAAAATTTAAGGAGGCACTCAAGGAAGACCTTGCCTCCGTAAATGTGTCACCCAAAGCTGCTCTCCCTTAAAAAAACCCAAAACCAAACCCACAGCCGTGGAGTCAATTCCAACTCATAGGAACTCTACAGGACAGAGTAGAACTGTCCCATAGAGTTTCCAAAGAGCAGCTGATGGATTCGAACTGCTGACCTTTTGGTAGCCGCCCAGCTCATAACCACAGCGCCACCAGGGAGCCGCTCTCTCTTAAGGAGGCACCAAAAAGGCCCTCAATTTCCGGTGGATGCAAGTGCCGGGAAGGTGAGTGCCTCCTTAAACTTTGCGCCTCCGCGACCCACTTTGCCTCTCTTTTGTCCCGGAAGTTCCTCCAAACCTTAGCACAGTGCCTTCCAGTGACTTCCAGGTAAGTTCTGTGCCATGCTGTCGCTGAATTCAGTTTCAAGCTATTACTTAAAATTGTCAGACAACTTGAGAGAGCCCTCCTACGCTTAGGCGGTTGGTGTGACTCTCCATCTCTTACCCAAGCACGTTCTGCCCTGTCGTCCGACTTGAGCAGTCCGAGATGCGCGCAGGTACGTCTTCCTTGCGCCTTTGATGCTTGCCTGTGGGCGCCGCACCTGCCACGTCCTTGCAGAACACGGGGGAGCCCCCCAATCCCTCCTGTCCTCAGTGCCGGGGAGTACTCCACATCGGAAGGAGACCTAGGAACCCCTGCCCAATGTCCGAAAGGCTCAGCCTCCGTTTGCAGCGCAACATCCCAGATTTCTACTGTGAGAAGCACCTGGAACCTCCGCAGCTGTTCTGTGATGATGACCAAGTCACACTTTGTGTCAAGTGCGCCCCATCCCAGGAGCACAAGCACCACGTGGTGTACGCGGTGGGCGAGGCCGCCGAGAACTACCAGGTAAGCTCCACGCAGGTCCCGGAGTGCTCTGGCCGTGCCGCCACCTCCTCCTGCGGGGACTGATGCTCTGTTCGTTCCCCTTGGGTCATTCCCTTAGTTAAATGTTTATCAAAGAATATAAGACGAGTACTGTGTTTAGCCCTTCAGCATCAAGGCTAAAAAAACCTGTAGACAGGTCTTTCAGGAAGTCCCTGGGTGTCTCAAATGGTTAATGGCTGGACTACTAACTGGAAGGTTGGTGGTTCAAACCCACCCGGAGGCGTGCTAACCCGCCCAGAGGCCCCTCGGAGACGGGCCTGGAGATCTGCTTCTGAAAGGTCCCAGCCATGAAAACCCTACTCTGCACACATGGGGTCGCCAGGAATCTGAACCCTCTGGTCGGCCACTAGTCGGCAACTGGTTTGATGTTTTTTGTTTGTTTGGCCCTTCTATTGTCTAAGGTTAAGAATCCAGCTGTTGTAAGGCAATTTATTTACTTGGAACTCTGTGATATATTTCTCTCCAGAAGCTATTTCAAGAGATGTTGAACACATTGAGGAAGAAACTTGAAATTGCTCAAAGCATATTGGCTGATGAGCAAGAAAGAATGGAGATAATTCAGGTCAGTGCTTAACTGGAAACTCGGGTGGAAAATTACCAGTAATGTCAGGTAGCAAGTAATGTAACACAATCAAAAGACAAATGACAAACCAGGGAAAATACTTGAAGTCTATAGAATGGAAAAGTGCTCGTTTCTGAGTGTATAAAGAGCTCGTAAGTCAATAAGAAAAAGATAGGAAATCCAATAGAAAAATGATCAAAGAAATGAGTTCACAGAAAAGAAATTGCAAATATCTTCTTAACACACAGAAATCCTGGTGGCACAGTGGTTAAAAGCTGTGGCTGCTCACCAAAAGGTCAGCAGTTCGAATCCACCAGCCGCTCCTTGGAAACCCTATGAGGAAGTTCTCTGTCCTATAGGGTCGCTATGGGTTGGAATGGACTCCACGGCAACGGGTCTGTTTTTTTTTGATTTTCTAAATACACAAAAAGATCCTTAACTTTGCTTATGGTAAGAGAAATACAAATTAAAAAATATTGAATTGTTAATGTGGTGGCATTTGCAACCCTGACTGGCAAAGATCAAAAAGATTGATAACAGAGTTTGTAACAATGATTTAGGAAAATTAGCACCTCGTGTATTTGTGCTGGACATACAAATCATGAAACCTCTATAAAGGGAAATTGGAGGATTGCTGTCCAAACTGAGTGTCCCACTATCCATCACACACGCTTTCACTTCTGATTTCAAATGCTATCTTCATGCTCCACTCTCTTCTAAGTCTTCTTAGTTTTAATTTTCCAGAAGAATCAATCTCTAGTTTGGGATGGTGGGGAAGGAGAATTGCCGGCTGTGCTAGATGTTTTCAACTGTTCCCATTTTCTTCATCAAATACCCACCCAGTGGTCAAGGTCCTGTTGCTTGCCAGAGACTGTGCTAGGTAGTAGGGACTCCGCAGTAGAAAAAACAATTCTGCCGCCTGGGAACGTACATTCTAACAGAGATAAACAAACAAACAAAAAATTTAAGTATGTTATACAGTAAGTAAAAGTCCCTGGGTGGCACAAATGGTTAAGCAATGGATTACTAACCAAAAGGTTGGCGATTCAAACCCACTCAGAGGTGCTTCGGAAGTAAGGCCTGGCAATCTTCTTCCCAAAAAACCACAGCCTTGAAAACTCTATGGAGCACAGTTCTATTCTGCACATACGGGGTCGCCATGAGTCGAAATCGACTCGATAACAACTATCAAAAACACACAGTAAGTGCTATAATTTTTTTTTTTTTTAAAAAAAAAGCAGGAAAGAGTGATGGAGTAGGTGTACTGTTAAGTAAGGTGAGCAGGACCTTGCCGTTCAGGAAGTGACATTTGAGAAAAGACTCAAGAAAGTGAGGGATTGAGCCATTCATTCTTCCTGGGGAAGAATACTGTAGACAGAGGGAAGGGCCTCAAGACTTGTGTGTACTTCGTTGGGGCAGGGTGACAGGAGACCAGCAGATGATGACATCAGAAGACAAAGGGACCAAGTCATACAGGACAGCTGACCCTTAATGAAATAGGAAACCACCGGAAGGTTTTGAGCAGAGTAGTGAATTGATCTGACTTCCACATTTTCACAAAACGCGCCAGCGGCTAACGCGAGGTAGCGGGAGTGTGACAGTAGGAGGGCATAAGCAGAGGTGGGGAGGCCCAGCTGGAGGCTCTGCACCAACAGGAGGCTGTGTACCAACAGGGGGCTCTGTAATACTCCAGAGAAACTTCAAGGAGAATTGGGAAGCTGGTGGTCGAGGTGGTGAGAAATGGTAAAGTTATTGGTACATCTTGATTCCATGGAATCTCATGAGATTAAATATCATCTCTAAACTGACTCCTTCCAAATGTATATCCCCAGCTCAGACTTCTGAATGACAGGCTTTCTGGTCAAAATTTCTGCTTGGCATCTCTCCTTGGATATCTTTGATTATTCAAACTCAGCATATCTGTAAAAATGGCGACAGTGGCATCAGAGGTCCCCTAACTTCAGGAGGGAGGAGAATCACCTTCAGCATCAGCCCAAGGCTGATCCCTATGAGGTGGAAGTCAGACATACCTCCAGCCTCCAACCTTTTTCTCAGCCGTCCTTCCCATGATGTTCTCTACTTCTCTGCTTTGTTTGGTAATTCATTGCAGTGGCCACACAGAACTCACAGACAATACTCATGATTATGGGGTTTATTAGGGAAGTAACAGGTAAAAACTTGGGATCAGGCTCAACAGGCTACAATGCAGGATGAGGATCAGGAAGCATGTAGGCAGCGTCTCCCTTCTTCAGTGCTGGGCAGCTCTCTCAGCTCCTCTCAGCCCCCTGCGGACAGGCCCCTCTTGGCCCCCTAAGGACAGGCCCCTCTCCGCCCCCTGAGGACAGGGTCCTTTCAGCCCCCTGAAGACAGGGTCCTCCTGACACCCTGTAGACAGGTTCCTCTTGCTCCCCTTAGGACAGGCTTCTCTCAGCCCCCTCAGGACACGCCTCCTTTCTCAGCTCTTGGCCCCGCTGGGCCCCGGCCTCTGCCCTGCTTGGGCAAGTGTTACAGAACTCTTATAGGGCTGCCAATAGGTGCCCAGAGTCACCCCACTCTGCCAGCAAGCCTCCTGCCTGAAGGCACTCAGCGTTCTCGCTGTGTGGGTTGACAAGCCCACTGTAGCTTCCTCGCTCTGTGGGCCAGGAAACCCACTGTGCCATATCGTACTGGTCTCCTAGTGCTGCTGCTGCTGCTGTGTCTCTGCCTTGCTTGCCTCTGCTTCTCACAGTCTTGCACCTTCTCTGATGGTACAGTTCTGTCTCTACTGGGTCTAGGAGGTTCTCAGTGCAGGTACTACGGATCCGAAGAACGCACTCCACTCCCTGCTCTTCTTTCTTGTTGGTAGTGAAGTCCCCTCTCTGCTTCTGGGCTTGGCTCCCTTTAAGCCTAGCGGGATGGCAAAACTGACCAATTCCCTCATTAGGTTTCCATACACCTTATTTGCATGGTCCCACCCCCACAAGGGTGCCATGCACCTTATTTGCATTATCAACAAGCTGTCCAATCCTCTTGGTAAGCCACAAGCACCTTATTTGCCTCGTCCCACCCAGTCATTGTGTAGGAGTTACAAGACCATGCATGGCTAAAAAAGCTGTATTAAGTAACACCCCAAACTGAGCTCTTGGTATACTGCCTACCTTCAGAACCTATTTCCTGCATAGTTTTCCTCTATGTTTTGACAACTCCATCCTTCTAGTTGCTTAGTCTAAACACCTTGGAGTTATCCATCCTGGACTCCCTGTCTCACACTGCATGTCAGAAGCATCACAAATCTCATTGGTGCTGCCTTCCAACTTTCCTGGTCTCCTCCTCATTGTTCTTTGAGATTGTAGCTTTCTTAGTTTTTCCTGATCAATTAACATTGCTTCATCTGCATTTCTTGTTATAAGATTGTCTTGATGTCTTGGCTGATCTTGACTACAAACTTCTCTGTGTTCTGGGGATTTTTGCCTTTTATTTTCTTCCTTTATACTTTATATTTCCCTTGTCTCTTTACTGGAGTTAGAGATGGAAAGAAGATAACATTTGTGGTCAATCTGTCATGTTTAACCTGAAGTCTATCATATCTGTATCTATGGTGAAGGAGGATGAGCAGAATTTTAAAGAGATGATTGAGTCTGAATATAGGATAAGGTTCCGGTTGTTGAATGAAGAGAATGAGATGAATCTCCTGAGACTGCATGGGTGCTTTTTCAACCTAAACATGAAAGAAGCCAGTCTGAATCAACTGATCAAGTTTGCCACCGAGCTAGAGGAGAAGCCCCAGGAAATTCTGCAGGTAAGATGTTGAAAACTACTTCCTCACAATATTTGAGAAGTGAGAGAAAGAGGAGCTGGACATTGTGCTAATTTTAGAATAAGACATCCAATGACAACCACAGATGTACTAAAATAATGTATATGTCTACACAGCAGTTCTGTTTCTGAGAATTTATCATGCAGATATCTTTACACACATATAAAAAGGCACATGGGTAAGGTAAAACTGTAAAACTCGGATTCAGTATAGAGCCATGACTCAGAGGTGCTCTTTGAAGCCAGATTAATGAAGTGCCTATCTGTGTTCTGCTATTTCCTAGCTCCTAGGTGGTTTTGGACAAGTTGCATAACCTCTGACTCAATTTCCTTAATTGTAAAACAGGAATAGTAAGGGCATCTAATTTATAATATTGTTGTATGGATTGAGTGAGACGATCTACATAAAACTTATTAAATAGTGTCTTCTACATATTAAGTGCTCAATAAGTATCAGCTATTATTAACTTATTGATAGTAAGAGATTAGATACAACCTGTAACCATCAATATGAGGCTCAGGAAGTAAGTTGTTACATATAATACAATGGAATATCTTCAGCATTTAAAAAGGACAACAGACTCTATGTGTATGGATAATAAATGCTCCCGAAGAGCGTATTATTAAGAACAAAGCAAATTGACAGGTCAGTGACGTAATACGCCATCTTAGGTAATTTTTATGGAAAAGCTAATATGAACATCTGTTCCATGTCCCTAGGTGGAGTATCTTTGGAAGGTAGAACAAAATCGCCGTCACTGGCTTTACTAATCACTGAATCCTTTGTTGTTCTTCTTGTTAGTTGCCATTGAGTCATTTTAGTTCTTATTATTGATTGATTGGATTGAATTTATAATTATAATACACTTTTAATTAATCTTAATTTAATGAAGGAAGTAGGAAACTTTCTGAATAAAATGCCACAGCAGGAAAAAAAAAAAGCGATCTGTTCGAGGCTCAGATTGTTTTTATCTGAATAAGTGACTCCATGAACACATGTCCACAACAACATAGATATATTGTGTCAAATAATCGAATTTCTATTGAGAGATGCCCAGTTTGACACAGAGAGATAGCAGAGCCTTACCTGAATAAACCTGTTTCTGGGGCAGCGGACAGAAAAAGCTGGTTTTTAAAGAGATGGTTAGATTAGAGACTCAGAGAAGTTACCCAGCTGTTGAATAGTAATCTGGAGATGCCTGTGCAGAGACTGGGCCGCTTGGCGAGAGAGAGCATGGACAAACTGAAGGAGAGTGAAGCCCGGCTCTCGGAGCAGATCCGCAGCCTCCAGGGGGTCATCGCAGAGCTGGAGAAGAAGTGTGGGGAACCCGCCTTAGCAGTGCTCCACGTAAGACTCCGGAAAAACCTCCATGACGGGATTTGAGAAATGAGAAGTGAATGGTGCTCCTTAGGGGTCATTTCCACCCCCCCAAAAAAACACGCAGTGGTCTTCAACCATACCTGAAGTCTGTGTAGCTATTTTCCAGTCACCAACAAGAGCAAATCGCCATCAGATCACTGGATGATGTAATGCTGTTTCATGATAGGGTTTTTCACCTTAGAATTATCAACAGTGGGTTTGAATTTAGATAATCCCTCAATAGAGTGAATAACTGACTAGTCAATAATGAGATAGCCATTAAATGGAATATTCTGCAACCATAAACAATGAAGAAATCTGTTCTATATGAGTCAGAATTAACTCAACGGCAATGAGGGTTTTTTTTTTTTGTTTATAGGCACTAAAAGGGTATCTTCAGGATAGCTCATTAATCCAGGACAGAGCTGGAGAAAAATGTAGAACAAAATTCTAACTCACAAAAAAAGACCAGACTTACTGGTCTGACAGAGACTGGAGAAACCCCGAGAGTATGGCCCCCGGACACCCTTTTAGCTCAGTAGTGAAGCCACTCCAGAGGTTCGCCCTTCAGCCAAAGATTAGACAGCCCCATAAAACACAATGAGACTAATGGGGCACAACAGCCCGGGGGCAAGGACGGGAAGGCAGGAGGGGACAGGAAAGCTGGTGATTGGGCACCCAAGGTCGAGAAGGGGAGAGTGCTGGCACGTCATGGGGTTGGTAACCAATGTCCCAAAACAATATGTGTGCTAATTGTTTAATGAGAAACTAATTTGCTCTGTAAATCTTCATCAAAAGCACACACAAAAAAAGATACCTCATTAAGTAAAAAAGAAAAATGTAGCTTTTCTTAGTGAAAAATGTATTTATATATACGTATATGCTGGTTAACATTCACAGACCGTCCCTGACAAGATACACACACACTGTAATCAGTGGCAGCCTTGGGAATCAAGGACAAAAGATGTATTTACATAGAATTGTACATTTTAAATTCTGCACAGTGACATGCATGGCCTTTTCAGAAAGTAAATTACTACTGTAAGGCTTCATATCCATACTGGCTATGGCTTCAGAAGCGTCTACATGCAAACCCTCGGGAAGCAGTTCAGCTCTAGACCCAAGCGTAGTTCCCAACAGGGTAGGTAGCATGACCCAGTTATTCTCGGTTCCTGACCTGGCTCTGACTCCCTTCCCCCACCTTAGCAGATCCCTCCATCTGCTCAACTCTTGGTTACCCAAAATACATGAACATTGATTGTATTAGTTTTCTAGGACTGCCTAGAAATGCCTTAACAGATTACCCCAAAGGGATTTACCCATTGCCGTTGAGTCGATTCCGACTCATAGAGACCCTATAAGACAGAGTAGAACTGCCGCATAGGGTTTCTAAGGCTGAAGTCTTTACAGAAGGAGACTGCCACATCTTTCTCCCCAGGAGTGCCTCGTGGGTTCAAACTGCCGACCTTTCGGCTAGCAACCAAGTGCTTAGCCACGGTGCCACCAGGGCTCCTCCACAAAGTGATAACAACAGAAATTTATTCTTCACAGTTCTGGAGGCTATAAGTCAGAATTCAGGGTTGGGTGGGACCGTGCTTTCTCCAAAGGCTCTAGGGGAAGAAAATCTTGCAGCTCCTGGTAGCCCCAGGCATTTTTTTTGTGGCAGTATAACCCCATCCTCTGCTTCTGCCCTCACGTGGTGGTCGTTCCTTGATTTTGAGCATTTTCCTGACTTTCCCTAATCAGTGTTACCCAGTAGTAACCTTGCTTTTTTTTCTCCTCTAGCATGCAAGATATTCTTTGGAAAGGTAAGTTTTCATTTTAGAGTCTGGTGTGTGGGGTGCCCAGGGGAGGGAGGTTGAGATAGGGATGGGAAGGACATATCTACTAATGGAATCTGTCTGATGAGATCCCGCCTCTAAATGGAGGGGCCTGGGGCCTGGGCAGGTCACCTGTGTCTTCTCCTTTCTTCACAGGACTGAGTCACTACTGCTTCAGTGTCTAGAGCCCGCCCGCATCACAGATCTGAGTTTATGCCAAGTAACAGGAATGAGCCCATTGCTAAGGGTTCTCCAAAGTAAGTTGGGACACATATCCACGATTATGGGAAACTGCCGCTGTGTTTTTTGTATTTGAGAATTCAGTGACCATTCCACCATAAAAAGATTTAAGCTCTTAATATGCTACCTAAGACTATTTAGGGACTATATAAGAAAATACTTGTATGATCTTATAGGAAGAGCTCTGGTTGTACAGCGGTTAAGCTCTCGGCTGCTGACTGAAAGGTTGGTGGTTCAAACCCACCAGCAGGAGAAAAATGTGACAGTCTGCTTCTGTAAAGATTACAGCCTTGGAAACCCGGTGGGACGGTTCTACTCTGTCTATAAGGTTGCTGTGAGTCAAAATAGACTGGATGGCAGTGAAGCTTTTATACTGAGAGGCAAATTCTTGACCAGTTTCCCAGCCCTGGAAACATAATTCCAGGCAGATTCTGCCTCTTAAAAATTTTAAATTTCCAGGAAAAAAAGTTTCAGCATGTATGACAAAGGACTTATATCTCCTGCCCCTGTAGTTTTACCTTTTCCAGAATGTCCTGTCAGGGGAGTCATAGACTATGTAGCTGCTTGAGTTTGATTTCTTTTACTGAACCATGGTGCAACTGGGGCACATCCAAGTTGTTGCGTGTATTGGGAGTTCTTTTTTACTGTTGTGTACTATGCCATTGTATAAATACTGTATACCACAATTTATCCGTTCACAGTTTCAGGGATACTTGGGATGTTTCCAGCTTTGAGCTAAAACATCTACCTGCAAATTTTTGTGTGGACATACGTCTCTTTCTCTAGGTGGAATACCTAGGTGTGGGTGCCATTTTACATTCCCATCAGTAATGTATGGAGCTTTCGTTTGTCTACATCCTCACCAGCATTTCATGTCAGCTTTTTTTTTTTATTAGATCTAACTTAACAGGTATGTGGTGGCGTCACATTTTTATTTTAATTTGCGTTTCTCAAATGACTGGTGACGTTGAGCATGTTTTTGTGTGCTTATTTATCAGCTGTGTCTCTTCGTGGTGAAGATTCAGTCAGAATCCCTGCCACACGTTTTACATTGCGCTGCGTGTTTTCTTCTTACTGAATTCTGAGTTTCCGGTATGAATTTTGGTTACCAGTCCTTTATCAGATGTGTGTTTTGCAAATATTTATTCCCAGTCTGTGGTTTGTATTTTCATTTCCATTTTTTCCCCATTAGAACCTTTATTTTTTATTGTATGTATTTTCATTTTCTTACCAGCATCTTTTGTTGAGCAGAAGTTTTGATGAAGTCCAATTTGTTAGATTTTTTTTTTTCCTTTTATGGTTTGTGGTTTTTGTGCTTTTTGTGTCCTAGCTAAGAAATCTTTTGTGAGAAAGATGTGGCCGTCGGCTTCTGTATCAATATTACAGCCTTGGAAACCCTACGGGGCAGTTCTGTTCTGTCCTATAGAGTCTCTATGAGTCGGAATCCACTTGACAACAATGAGTTTTAAGAAATCTTTGCCTACTCCAACAAAGATTTTCTTCTAGAGGTTTTAGGTTTTACATTTATGTCTGTGTTCCATTTAGAGTTAATATTTATATATGGTTCAAGGTATAGTACAACCCAATCTACCAAACGTCCCTCATTTTGTTTTTTTGCGCATGGCTGTCCAATTGTTCCAGCATTACTTGTTGGAAACGTTATCCTTTCTCCACTGAATTTACTTGGCATGTTTGTTGAAAATCAATTGGCAAATATGAGTTGGTCTATTTCTGAATCCTAATAGATCCACTGATCATTATATCTACTCTTTCGCCAATACCACACTGCCTTGATTGATTATAGGAAGTAGTGTAACTTTGTTCTTTTTTAAAATAGTTTTATTCCGTCCTTTTGCTTTTCCACATAAATTTTAAAATCAGCTTGTTGATTCATTAAAACTAAAAAAAGGCTACTGGGATTTTGACTGGGATTACACCGAGTCAATAGATCAATTTGGGGAGAACTGACATCTTGAAAATATTGAGTCTTCTAGTCCAGGAGCACGGTATATCTCTGTTTATTTAGGTCTTCTTTGATTTCTCTTGTCAATGTTTTGTAGTTTTCCACATACAGATATTACACATATTTTATTAGATTAACCCCTAAGTATTTTGTTGTTTAGTGCTATTGTACCTGTATTTTACAAACTATATTTGTAATTAAATTTCATTTCTTTCTAGTTCATTACTAGTATATTGAAATGGAACTGATTAATGTATATTGACATTGTCTCCTAAAGCTATGCTAAACTGATTCATTAGTTCTAGTGACTTTTTATAAATTTTTTGGTATTTTCTACAAAGATAGTCATGTAATCTATGGATATGTAGATAGTTTTATTTCTTTCTTTCCAATCTGTATGTCTTTTCTGTATTCTTCTTCCCTTATTATACTAAGGAGCGCTGGTTGTGCAGGGGTTAAAGCGCTCGGCTGCTAGCCTGAAAGGTTGGCAATTCAAACTCACCAGCGCTTCACTGGAGAAAGATGTGGCAATCGGCTTCCGTAAAGATTTACAGCCTTGGAAACTCTCTGGGGCAGTTCTGCTCTGTCCTGTAGGGTCGCTATTAGTCGGACTAGACTCGGCGGCAGTGGGTTTTCTTTTCTTTTTTTTTAATTGTACTAACTAGGACCTCCGATATGATGTTGAATTGGAGTGGTGAGAGTACTTGCTTTGTTCTTGCCTTTAGGAAGAAAGAAAGCTTTACGTCTTTCACTTTTAAGTATAGTGTTAGTTGTAGGGTTTTCCATAGTTACCTTTCATCAAGTTGAGGAATTTCCTTTTTATTTCTGGTTTGCAAAAAATTGTTATCATGAATGGATATTGAATTTATCAGTTGCATTTTTCTTTATCTATTGAAATGTTCACGTTTTTTTCTTCTTAAACTGTTACTATGGTGAACTATATTGATTGATTTTCAAATGTGGAACCAGCTTTGCTTTCTCAAGATAGACACTTATAATGATGTCTCATCCATTTGCTATATATTCTTATATTCAGGGTGCTAATATTTTGTTAAAAATTTTTGCATTTATGCTCATGAAGGATATCGGCCTGTAGCTTTCTTTCCTTATAATCATCCACTGACTTTTTTTTATGTAATTCATTTCATTTTTGATTTATGGATATTCTATTTGGTTCTTTGTCCAATTGGCTTGGTCTTGCTTTTTAATTTCCTATATCCTGTAAATATCTTTAAGCTTTTCTTTTTTCTGCAAACATTGCAAGCGCAGTTATTTTAGAGTCTGTTTCTGATCATTTCAGTATCCAAAGTTCTTCACAGATCTGTTTCTGGACCCTTGTTCAGTAGTGCTTTTCTTATTTTGTGGGTGTGTGCTTAATGATTTCTGATAGGAAACTTCCCTTTTTTCTTGGATGTTATTTTGAGAAATTCTTGGAGAGAAGGAATGAAGATGTGCCTTCTTCCAGAGAAAACCTGCGTTTGTTTCTGTTCATCTTCTGGAGATACTCAGAGTCTGAGACAACTTGAACTTTGAAATTCAAGGCTTGTGTCTTTGAGACCACTCTAATAATGATGTGAATCGGACTGTTAAGTCCAGAGATTTAAGCTAATTTGGTAATAGAACTTGTAGAACTTGCTACTGGATTAAATGTTAGAGAACGTAAGAAATGAAGGATGACTCCAGGTTTATGGCTTGATGAACTGAGAAGTAAAGGCTGGAAAGGATAGGTTTGAAGTTCCGTTTGGGCATAGTATGTTTGAAATTCCTATGTTACATCCAACTAGCAGTCGGCAGTTTGTGTTATGAATGAGTCATAATCATATAGAAGATATTTAAGATGGAGGCTAGATGAGGTTACCTAGAGAAAGAAAGAAAGAGGACCAGGACTAAGCCTTGGGAAAAATCACAGTATATAGAAGTCCAAGAGAAAGAATAGTCAGAGATACGAAGAAAGCCGGAATCACCAGGTTTGTGGAAGGAGTGGCTTACCAAGGCATTAGCAGGTCCTCTAGTTGAATGCAGACTCACAAAGTATTTCTTTTGTTCATCTAGAAGAAAATCACATCAAGCTTTCTTTTTGTTCTCAGGTTGATTTTGTGGAAGATTCTCACAGGTTTTCTAGACTTCGCTAACATAGTCTTCTTTGAACTAAATGTCAAGGGCTTGTTGGCAGCAATTTCTTGGCCTCAAAGTCAAACTTAGGTGATATTTAAGCTGAGAAGAGTAACTCAGTCACAGGGAAGAACCATGCATCAATTGCCCTGTTAGGAAACTCCGATGCTTCTGGCTGTTCAGGCTTGGAAGATCTTTAGAGGACTAGAGCTGGGTCCCAGGTGATAGCTAGGTGAGAATAGATACCAGTTACAGCCTCTGCGGAGCCCTGGTAGCACAGTGGTTAAGCACTACAGTTGCTAACCAAAAGGTCAGCAGTTTGAATCCACCAACCACTCCCTGGAAACCCTGTGGGGCAATTCTACTTTGTCCAATAGAGTTGCCGTGAGTCGGAATCTACTCGATGACAATATGTTTGGTTTTTTGGGGGGCGGGGGTGGTTATAGCCTTTGTGTTGAAGGAACTTTTAAACGTGTCCTTAATCCATTATTTTTTGTTTAGCTCTTCCGGGTAGATTTTATCCCCTTCCGTCATCTAACTGGTTTATTTTCTCCATGATGTCCATTTATTGAAGCAAAGCTTAGGGGTTCATTTTCCCAGGCTCTCCTAAATTGCTTCTCCTCTAACGGTACCTGAGACTTGTGCCCGCTCATTGGGAAGCCCTACATGTTAGAAATTATCCGTCTCTGGCGTTGTCCTCGGTGACCACCTAGGTTAACTAAATGTCTCTCTCCCTGCAGGACATATCACTTTGGATCCCGAAACAGCTCATCCTTGTCTGGTCTTATATGAAGATCTGAGAAGTGTCAGATTTGGAAATGTCCAGCAGGATGCACCTGGCCACCCAGAGAGATTTGACTTCAGCGCCACGGTGTTGGGTGTGGAGTGTTTCGCCTCAGGGAGACACTACTGGGAGGTGGATGTGGGAAAAGCGACCAACTGGCAGCTGGGCATATGCAAGGATGGCGCAAGCAGACAAGAGGACAGGCCCAAAGCTCGCGCAGATAAAGTCTTACTCACAAGATCCGTGATGGGGATGGACTGTACCCTCTGGGGCTTTCCGCCTTTAAAAAGGATCTCCTTGAGAGCCCAGATGCACAGAGTTGGAGTTTTCATAGACTGTGATGATGGACAGGTATCATTCTATAACGTGACAGAGAGATCCCTCATTTATAGTTTATCTCACCTCCCCTTCCATGGAGCTGTCAGGCCTATATTTTCTATTTGTATCCCAAATGAAGGCACAAGTTCAGACTCTCTCACCATTTGCCCCCCTCAAGTTCCTTCTTGTAATGCTACTGTTAGCCCTCCGTCTTCCTTGGTGTGAAATCCAAAGCCACATAAGGCCAGAAGGTTAAGACCGTGACTTTGTGAACTATTTTATGTGAAGTAATCCAATAAAAGATTTCTCTGTCTTGGGTTGGAACCCAGTTCAATACCCCAGAGCCGTTGTGTCCCTGGAATGTTAAGGCCCAGTTAGTGGATGAGGTTGCATTTAAACTGAGTCATGAATGATAATAGCAGGAGTACTCTCTTCTGACGAGAATTACAAGTGCATACGCAGCAAAGTATTGGGAAATTAGAGTGGAAGTGTAGCCTGGCTCCAGATTAACTGAGGAGCCCTGGTGGCGCAGTGGTTAAAGTGATAGACTGCTAACCGAAAGTTGGGGTTTTGAAACCACCAGCCGCTCTGTGGGAGAAAGAGGTGGCAGTCTGCTTCCGTAGAGATTTACAGCCTTGGAAACCCATGGGGTCACTATAAGTTGGAATCGACTTGACGGCAGTGGGTTTGGTTTTTTGGCTTAGGACTAGGTTAGAGACTCTGTATTTCTTAAAACGTTGGTACAATTGGGTATCATCAAGAATGAAAGCAGAACTTTAGATGTGAGCATTTCATCATAGTGCCATGTGGAATGGAGGCATCCTATTCCCAAGCCTATTACTGACATCGAGGCATCCTATTACATCCCAGCACGCTTTCGAACCTTTATCCTCCCAAATAGAGAATAATTATTTCCCTGGACATTTCATCCGTCAGTGTGGGAGGAAGTGTTGGAAAAAGTGAATATTTTACAATTATTTTTTCAAGGGCTCTTTTCCACCTCTCTTTCTGACAAGGAAAATTAGATTTCTTAAAAGAAGCCGAGTAGTTCAATGCTTTGAAATGCCTAAGTAACACTGTAATGGTGTATTTGCCCTCCTTCCAGTAGATGGGTCCACTGAAAAATGCTTTGTTATCCAGTGGTGATCATACTGAGAGGAAGAAGAGAAAATATTTATAGAAGGACTTTTATGTAAAAGATTGATCATACTTTATAGGTTATATTCAGTAACCTATACTCGACAGCAGTGGGTTTGGGTTTGGTGTATAAATATATGTTAATATTATTACTCAGATATGAAAACTGAGGCTCAGTTTTCCTAAAATCACATAGCTATTAAATGTCTAATAAGTACCTATTATGAAGAATTAGCAGGAGTCCCTAGGTGGCGCAAACAGTTATGTGCTTGACTACTAGTTGAAAAGGTTGGCGGCTCAAACTGACCCAGAGGTGCCTTGGAAGAAAGGCCTGGTGATCGGCTTCCGAAAGGTCCCAGTCTTGAAAACCGTAAGGAGCGGTTCTTCTTTGATGTAGAACTGTGAAGTAGACTCATGGGATCACCGTGCGTCAGAGTCAACTCTATAGCAACTGGTTTGTTTTGGGTTATAAAGAATTAAATTTAGAACATTGAATCAAACAAAGCTCTGTTTTAGATCCTTTTGCCTCAGAATCCATTATGATCATGATGCCTAGGCAGGCCAGTGGTCCCATTCTACTCAAATTCCTTAAAAAATGCAAGCTGAGCAAGCAATGGCACAAAAGAGTTTGTGTATAAATTTTTGAATGAGAAACTAATTTGCGCTGTTATCTTTCACCTAAAGCGCAATAAAATTTAAAGAAAAAAGCAAGCTGATTTCTATGGAAATAGAGGAACCATATTATTTACACTTCCCTCTGAGGCATACTCTGTGCGTTGTGGAGGCCCAGCTCCTCGGGTTGGGCAGAGTAAGGGAGCAAAAGGCAGGTGGAAGAACATCGCTGCTGGCGGCTCTCGGAGGGCTGGGGGGCAAAGAGTTTTATTAACCTGTCTTTAGAGACATATTTTTAATTGACTGTTCGGAATTCTCAAAATTTTAAAACATTATGTGGGTAATTTTGGGGGGTAAAGATGCAAACTTGGAAAAAGAGGTTGCACGTTGGCACACCGAATCACAAGAGAACTTGGGAGAAAGCACCCCTGATCTCAGAAGGTGAGTGAGATGGAAGTGAGATCATTATTTCAAACATTGGAAGGACAAGTTCAGATTAAGTGATGACTCTCAAACCACTTCTCAATCCCCTGAGGAGAGGAGAATGGTTATTCACTGTACCCGCAGTGAGGGGATTTGTAAGTAACTCTGTCTGGATCATATTTAAAATGCAATGTGTACATGTCTTTTTGTCTAACTAATGAAAAGTATAGGCTAAAAAAATACTTTGAATCAAATGTTTATTGTTACACAACGCCCAACAATACAAAATGCTTATAATAAGTTAGACTGTATGATAAACTAGAACAGTGGCTTTTAGCGAGGGGCGGTTTTGACCCCCGGGAACATTCAACAATGTTTGGACACATTTTTGATTGTCACAGCGAGGCAAGGACACTACTGGGGTCGGGCGGCTTGAGGCCAAGGACACTGCTCAGTAAACTGCGATGCCCAGCGCAGCCCCACATGTAAAGAGTTATCTGGCTCAAAACGTCAGTACTGCCGAGACTTAGAAACCGCAAGCTGGAAACAATGGTAAAAAGCGAGAATCGCGAATTTGAAAACTCAAATCATCATAAAGAACATGGCTGGTTTCCAAAGTGCAGGAATTCCAAAGGTACCCATCTAGTAAGTGCTTTGCAAATTATTTATCAGCAGGCAATTATCTTAGAATGTTGAATTTGAGACTAAGGAGAAGTAAATAACTTACAAATATCATAATTGATAACTACTCAGTAGATTATTAGTAATAGGCTGGCCATGATTCTATACATTTTCCGTTTATATTTTGTTGCATTTGACTATAATATTAAAGAAAAAAATTATCCAATTCCAACTAGTTCCATACCTTACAAGTCCCCCGTTAGAACCTCCCAGCCCAGATGCTAAACCCTATAAATATCCTACCTTGATTACCCTATTTTGAGATGCTAATAAAATTAAGATTGTATTCTCCCTTATTGCAAAAAGCCTAATTCAGTAGCTTTGTTTGATCAACAGGGCTTCAGGGTGGTCTCTTAAGGAGACTTACAATCAGCATTTCTCACTTTTTCAGACAATAAACTTCAAATTCGCCTTCACCTATACAGATTCTTTCTTTCCTGTTGCAATAAACCAATTATTTCCTGTCCTTGTTTTGGCTCCAAATTCCTCTGACATTTTAAGGAGCCCTGGTGGTGCAGCAATTAAGAGCTCGGCTGCTAACCAAAAGGTCGGCAGTTGGAATCCACCAGCCACTCCCTGGAAACACTATGGGGCAGTTCTCTGTTCTATAGGGTCACTGACTCAGAATCGACTCGATGGCAATGGAATTTTTTTTACTCTACAGATCAGAGGTCAGCAAACTTCGATTCCGACTCAGTGCACCTCCAGGCCTCCTGTGAAGGGCCAGATAATAAATATTTTAGACTTTGCTGCCCATGCTGTCTCTCGTGAAGCTACTCAACTGTCCGTGTAGCACAAAGACCCCGTGTGCGTCAGAGTAGAACTGCTCCATAATGTTTTCAATGACTTTTTTTTTCTTTTCTTTTCACTTTTTTTTTTCTTCTTTTCTTTTATATTTTATTGTACTTCGGTGAAGGCTTACAGAACAAATAGTTTCTCATGAAACAGTAATACACATGTTGTTTTATGACATTGGTTAACAACCCCACAACAT